TGGTCATAACTTGATTAATACCAGTGTTGAGCCCCATCAATTTTTTAATGCAACTGAGCACAGCATTTCTGCCTGGGGATTCTGAAGAACGGTCATTTATGGGAATGCGCCGCCCAGCACGTCTTCAGTGTGAGCCTTGGCAACGAGTCCTCCTGTTTGCCCTGTGCTCTGGTAGCAACGAGGCATTTTGACAATAAATGCCGCTGATTGAAATGGCCGTTGAGTCCCATTTCAGAGGTTTGGGAGCCAGTAGAGGAGTTATTCCAAAACGTCTAGCTCAAATTAAAAGGGGGAAATTGGAGTTGTGGAATGCAAATATTTTAAGATGGGAACATACGATTATGGTCTCTGTTCTCATAGGGGCTACTTGGTAACCCTCTGGCATACCTCCTTGGTCTTGTGCTAACTTGTAGTATTTCTGTTAAGCCAACTATGCATTTATTATATATCCGTACGTGATAATTATACATTATGTTAACTATCTGTGTTAGCTTTCTCTTCTCCAGTGGAGAGTGAATTTCTTCATTGCCGAAAATGTTTTACTTTTGTTTGAATTCTACCACCTGCATTCGATAGGTACCTGAAATGTGTGTAGAAAGTAAGATTGAATAAGGGAGCGTTTCCAAAGGTTACACCCATTTAACCCATGGAAGGAAGGCGGGGGGGGGGGCAGCGAGCCCTGGGGGTCAGGACGTTCCCCTCCTGGCCCTGACACTGAGGCCGCAGAGTCACAAAGAGACGATACAAATGTCTCTGCCCAACACACTGTCCCATCTCCTCTCCTCTCCTCGAAATCTCAGGACAAGTCGACCCCACAACCTACACATCAAAGGGCTGAATCACTCGACAACCTCATGGCCGTGATGCCAGCACTGGTGGAGCTGAAGGGACAGCCAGACTCAGTTCATTTGCACCCCCAAATCAGCTCTTATCCCCCAGTCCAACTCTAAAGAAGTTTTCCTTGAATCTGGAAGGCTTTCCACATTCAGGAATTCCCTACTGGGCCGTGAATGTGCATGGAAGGAACGACCCTTTCAGCATCTATTGAGTCCTTAATGAATACACTCATTCACTTGTTTAGCAAGTTTTCGTTTTCCTGGCACTTTATCACAGAATTACTAACAGAAAGATCAAGAGATGAAGGGGCCCCGCTGGCCTGGCTCAGTGGCTGAGCGTCGACCCAGGGCCCAGGAGGTCACGGCTAGATTCCGAGTCAGGGCACGTGCCTGGCTTGCCAAGGGCTCAATCCCCGCAGCCTGCAGGAGGCAGCAAAGCGACCGGCGTTTCTCTCCCATGGATGTTTCTCTCTCTCTCCCTCTCCCTTCCTCTCTAAAAAAAAAAAAAAAATCAATAAAAACATATTAAAAACAAAAAAGATCAAGAAGTGAAGGTACCTTGGGGTAGCTGGTGCAGAGAAAAGAACACAGGGAAAGGATTTTATGGATTTTAAAAATCCGCCTACACTCGGCTCTGTCCCCTGAAAGGAACAGGTCACAGTGTGGTTCATGGTGGTATTTTGCTTGTTTTTAATCAAAGGCGGCTCAGTCTGTGGCCCGATGGACTCCCGCACAGTTACTGTCTCACGCCCCCAGGGTAGGTACAGGGACATACGTCTGAGACTCGCCCTCCGTCTGAGCAACGTGATCTCTTCCAGTCCCCACAGTTTTGGGCCAGTTCTCAGGAAAGCTGCTTTAAAACAAACCTAAAGTACACACAGTGATGGGGGTAGAAATAAGCATTAAGCAAAGGGAGCAATGACATGCGACCCTTAGGCCACACGACCTCCTTGGAGGTCAGCTATTTCAGGAACTGAAATGGGGCATTTGTCACATTCTCATCTGCTCGATCTATAATTATTTTAACTATTATATGTGCTGTTTATAACCCATTATCTTGCAATAACAGCTTGCACGGATCACTGCATAATTTTAAGATATAATAGCTTTTCTTGCCAATATTTGATTTCCAACTCTGCATCTGCTGACTTTAACTGTATCTGTGCCACGCACTCTGGGTAAACATGTTACTTCCTAAGGACTTATCTTAGACTAGGCACCTGGCTTTTCTTTTTGCATAAACCTGTTTCCTTTTGTGCTGGTTCGTGGGATGAACTGTTTGTCAAGATGTAATAAATTGGCTTCTGAACTTGCCAATCACCTACGTGGGCTGGAACGTGGACCCGAGACCCAGCAGGTGGGAAAGGGGTGGCAGGTAACGTGAGTGATGAAACCTGGAAATCTAATCATTACGGCTGGAATTATTCAAGTTACTTTGGCTATATTAATCAGATTATTGTCTTTACTGGGTAGATAATCATTTTTATAGCTAATCGACATGTTCCTTGTCTATGAAGATAAACGTTTGGATCCCACACGGGTGTAATGAATATCTTTCTCTAGTTAGCCTGGTTGGATGCTAAAATTTAAAAATTTATTTAAAAATGTATTTATTTAGGGACAGTCACGGAAGCTCTTCCAAAGAGAAGAAATTCCACTGAGGCTCCTGCCAGATCCAATGTCCTCTAACCTGAGGGACAGCGTGTCCTGCAGTCAAGGTCACCTGGCTGCAGTCTGGAGCCACGGTAGATAAAATCCTGTCAGAGCCTAAGTTTCTCCAAGGACTTTAATTTTCTTCAAATCTGCAAATTTTCACCCACATCCCATATATTAAAAGGTAACAATACTGACCTACTAAGTGAAAGTCCAAATAAATATTAAGGCAAATAGAAGTGCCTTAGGGGAGAATTTTATCTTTGGCTCTTTGATTTTTAAGAGCTTGAATTTAAATATCTTGCTTATATATTCAAATGCATCATCTTCACTCCATCAGAACAGAACCAATAAATTACTTTTTCATAGCAAAATAGGGGCAGAAAGCTGCCCATATTTTACATTGGTCTCAGTGATTGCTCACATACGTTGGCATCTGGAAATATTTCTCACTCCCAAAGAGTAAATTTGTTTTGGTCCGGCCTTGGCAATAACCTTGATTTGGAACCTGGGTCCTGCTAATCCTCATCTGTCCAGTCCTCCCCTAATGAGTCAGACTCATCCCTCAGGGGGACGAAGAGGGAACAGCCCTGGAGAAGGTCCGTAGGTGCCGGGAGACCAACAGAGATGGAGGAGAAGCATTATCTTTCTCTAGGATTTCTCCCCTTCTTCCCCTTATGGCTTTGTCCTGCCCCGGCCTTCTCAGCACCGAGAGGAGAAAAGACACCCTTCAGCTGAGATGTGAGCACGTATCCCATGGAGGGCACCGAGCTGGCACCATAGAGGGTGGTGTAGACTCGGCTGGGCCCAGTGTCTCATGGCATCTTGTCCAGATGCTCCAAGAGCTGTATGGTGGGGTCAACGGCAACTCGAGGATGTGGTGTGGGGAGGGGCACGTAATAAGAGAGCCACAGGTGTTCAATGGCCATTCACCTCACTAACTACAGATAAGAGGTTTCTTACAGACCATTGGAAACTGGAGGGTGAAACGAGGCTGTGAAAAGGTAAGATGCCTCCGTGGGCCCATCACTCAGAAAAGAAATACATTTTGAGAATAGACCAAAGACAGGACAGACTTTGACTTGGTTGCTGTGCCCAGACCCTGACTCCCTCCGGGAGTTGGCCTCAGGAATGCTGACCATTCTCTGGTCCCAAGAACGGGCTGAGCTGTTTGTAACATCATAGATTAGCCACCTGGTTATCGGACTTTGAGCCCCTGAAGGCCGGACTGCAGACCCTCCCCTCCCCTCCCCT